AGGTAAGGAGAATTGTGATCCTATTTTAAGTCAGTGCCATTCTCCTTCAGTAGAAGCACATTTGGATAGGATGAGCACTGCATCTAAGGTGAGAAAGTAGCATCAGCGAATGTTGATTTTAGGGAGTTTTGCAGGGTCGAGGGGAAGAGCAGCTGGTAGGTAGGGACAGGGGAGGAGACCTGAAGGAACTCCTCTTGCTTTGTGTCGTAATTTTTTCTGTGAAGTTGGAGGCAAGGTCATGGGTCAGGAGTAAGGGGAGTGATAAGGATTGGGTAGGAGAATGGTGGAGGTGTGGGATAGTAGCTGAGAAGATTGGTTGACTTGTACCAAAGTCAAGCAGAAAACAGCCATGTTTCATTGAATGTAATGAGACTGAATGTCATTTACTTGTAGTTGGATTTCTCTGCATGGTTATGTGATCTTATCTTGCTCACTGGCCCCAGGTAGTAGCCAGAAGTTGAATGTGGGAGCCATCCAGGTTGGGCAGATGAAATAGAATAGCAGAACTAGGTTTTTGCTGGAAAATAGGTGATCAGTCATTGGGTTCACATTCAGTTAGGCAAGAAGGGACAAAGTGACATCTATCCACTTTTTTTTTTCTCAGTCGTTAACTGCTGTCATCCTAGTCCAGCTCACCAGCATGTCTTTGCAATAATTTCCACTTGTGCTCCTTCCACACCCGTCTCACTACAACCAGGGGGATCTTTTACTATTTCAGTCTGATCATGTCCTGCCCCTACTTACAACCCATCAATGGCTTTTCATTACCTTTAGGATAAAATCTCAATGTTTAGCAGGGTCTTTCAGGCCGCCTCTTAATCCTCATTTTGTACTATTCTCACCTCTATGTTTCTTCCTGTGTTGATATATGTTTCCTCTGCTCGGAGCATTCTTTCTTTCCCAGTTTGTCCCTCCAATTCCTACTCATTCTTTGGTCCTTAGATGTAATATCACTTCCTTGGGAAAGCTTTTTCTGACACCCTGTAGGAGATGACACCCATCTCTCCAGCATTTCTTTATTACAATTTTCTGTGAAATTTTGTGGGTTTTTTCTCCAGACTGGAATCTTCCTGAGGATAAAAATTGTGTCTGTCTGTTGTGTTTCTAATCCTGAACATAGTGCACCTAACACGTAGTAGGCACTCCATGATTTTTGTTGCATTAGTGAATAAGGTGGTTAAGGAATTGGATGACTTAATCTGAGGTGAGGATATCTTGAGGTAAGAGAGCAGGTTTAGTAGTAGAGAGGGAAAGCTGGAAGGAAGATGAGATTGTAGCCAAAGTAATGGATGTTGAAAATAGAGAGGTAGAGTAGTTTTAGGAGATGGCAGGGTTCAGGACTGAGATGCTGGAGCATTTGATGAGATTATGAAGCTCTTACGGCAGAAACATTGGATGGGTTGTGTAGGTGGATGTTGAAATTGCTGAGGAAAATGGTAGGATTTAAAGTGAGGGCGATACAAGGCAGGTGTCTAAGTCTTTAATAAATAGAAGAGATAGGCATAGCCCTTTCCTGTGTGAAAGGGTTCAGGAGGTAAGAATCAGTGCTGTTTTGGGGTTCAGTAATGCCCTAGTGCCTTGGGAGGCAGTATGGTGCGGTGGGGTATGTGTCCAAAATATCTGGGTTCAGACTTTGGGCCCCCTACCCGACTTTTCAAGCCTTATTTGTTTCTTTGTTTGTAAACACATTTTTGTATGAAGAAATGCTTTCTCTAATCTTTGTGAAAATGCCATCATTCTTGGGTGTGGATTTTATTGTTCTGGAGAAGAGAACACAGGCCATTATGTGGAAGTTATAGAGGGAGGTGGGCTGGTGATTTAATTTAGAAAAGTGTTTTCTAATGATTAGATCTGTCCAACAGTAAGACGGACATCGTGGCAAAGGAATGAGTTTTCCATCAAAACTTGTATCCATCCATGCAGAGACTGGGTGATTTCCCTCTCAGAGATGTAATAGAAGGATTTCTGCAGGGGGCGGGGCAGACACTGGACTAAGTAATCACTAATGTCTCGTCCGGTTGGAGGACTGGAGGGTTTTGACCCCAATTGAGATTTGTCTAAACACCATTCAATCAACAGATGTTTGAGTGCCTCCTCTGTTTTGTTTGAAAGTTTGAAAGCCAGTATTTTCTTTTTTTTTCTTCCTGTGTGCTGAGACAGAGCCAAGGACTGTGTGTTTTAGTCCATGTTGTGGATATTTCCCATTTGGAATTTGAGAAGCTCAAACCAGGTGTTGGTGGTGATGTAACAAAAGCTACTGTCCTCTCCTGTTGGGTGGGGTTAGGGTGGAGTCTGTGGCCTGCACCTGGAGGCATCAGATACAAGAATGTGCTGCCAAGACGCTTGGTTTAGTGCTTTGAATTTTTTGGCAAGTTGTTCTAGATAATGTTGGATCTCTAAATTACTTCTCAAAAATACTTTGTTGAAAAGAATGACCTACTGTGTTGGCAAATGAGATCTATGATGCCATGACATTGATGGTTTTTATTGGCTTCTCAGCCACAGGAGCCTATGTCTGGCTGGGAAATGGCCTACATGCCTGTGGCATAATCAGCTCTTCTCTCTTCTGCTGAGCATCTTTTTGCTGATTGCTATGTGTGTGCTTACTGTATACCTCCCACAGCCTTTCAGAAATGTATTAAAGTGGCTTTACTAAGTTCCTTCGAATTTTTTTTTTTTTTTTAAGACAGAAGATTGAAATTCATTTTGCAGCTATGCTCTTGGTTTTGGATTAGTCATGCTTTCAAGTTATTTGGGCTGCAGCCATCTCCTGTGACCTCTAAGACAGTGACTAAAATGGGCTTGGAGAAGAAATTCTTGTCTTTATTAGGGGAGGGAGAAACCACTCATTCATTATGAATTCTGAAGGAATTTAATTCTTAAGTATAAAATGTAAGAAACTAATTTATTTGATAACTTGACATTTTGACCTTGAGGTATGTTAGGCCAAAAGTTACTTATGTATTGGCAGCCTTTTCTGACAATTGGGATATTGAAATGGAAGGAAATTAGACATTGGTAATACATAGACTAAAAGAGAATGTCAGGATCATGGTTTATGAGGCTATAGTGAACTGGAGAAGTTCAGTTTTTGAACCTGGAAAGGATCTTAGAGGTCATCGAATCCAAGTCTAGGATAAACAAGAGGCAACTGAAACCCTGTAAGTAATTTGACCAAAGCCACCCAGCTAACATATATAGGTGTAGGTAAAATCATATGGTACGAGGGTGGCAGAACTAGTGACAGTATGGATGATGTCTCTTCAGAAAAGAGAGTTTCTGAAACTTGGAGAGATGGATTGGGACCAGGGCAGACTCTTAGAAATAGAGGGGTGATAGGAAGTACGAAGGACCCTGGAATTTCTCATTTGTTAAGTTAAGCCGAAAATGGATTGGTTTGGTGGTGGCTGGTATGGAGGTTCACTTAGTCATTTAATTATTTACTCCATCAGGCATTTATTGACTGCCTACAATATTGTAGGTGCTGTGCTAGGTGCTAGGTGTTGGGCTACAAATATGAATAAAACATGTCCCTGCAGTCAAGTTAGTGACTTCCTGGTTTTATGACCCACAAATCGTTGATGTTTATTTGCCTTAATATTTCTAAGGAATGCAGAAAATCAGGATCTGATCATAGCACTAAACAAGCTGTGTCCTGGCATTGGGGGAGGTTTGAAGAAAAGGTATCTGAGTCACCCTTAGACTTTAGGTTGTTTAGGAGGAGATGTTTCTGCAGAGAGTCACCTGAGTCACCTTTTACCTCTGAGAATTCTACTTTTGGCCTTCCCGAAAAGGCAAGGGATTGGTGGGTGTGGTAGGGCAGGTGTGTTATGGTTACTTTAGGAACAAGCCCTCTTCTCCAGAGAACTGTAGACCTGTCTAGTATGTAGAATTTGGTTAGAGATTGTTCTTCACTCTGTTATTGCTTCCTCGGCTGGGACTGCTAACTTCAGAGGAATGTGGATTGGTGCCAGGCTATCAGGTCAGGGACAGAGTTTCTCTGCCAAAGTCAAGTCTGAAAGAAGAGATCTTTTTCAGGTAAACTTATTTGGCTCATTTGTCCGCGGTAGAGAAAGGCTTGTTTCCTGGGTTCATGAAATTAGTGGACAAAAATTGACTTTTGTGTACCTTTGAGATCTCCACTCTGCTTTGCGTAATAGCTTATTGTTTTATTTTGAGTAGTTTTCACTATCAGCTTGCTCCTTCCATGTCCTCAGCTAGCCTCAGAACACTAGTCAACTCTAAAGTTATTCAGTGTATAGTGCTCATTTGTTCATTTACCCATTCATTCCGCAAATATTTCCTGAGGGCCTGTATGCCACGCACAGTGCCAAGTGATACATGCTGAGGACACATTAGTGAACAAGAGACACAAGCACTTGGCTTTCAAGAAACTTACATATTAGAGGAGGAGGCTAGACAGCAACCTATTAAAATAATTTCAGGTTATATCAAGTGCTGGGAAGGAAAGAAACAAGGTGGGAAATTCTTCAGGGTGGTAGTCTGCTGCTTTCTTCCATTAGCTTGGATAAGCAAACTGATGATAGAAATGGAATACTCTAGAAAGGTAGAAGAAAAGCATTATTCAGAGTGACATTAGACTTTATGATTAATTTAGTAGTTAAGAAATTAATGAGGAGGGGCGCCTGGGTGGCTCAGTCGTTAAGCGTCTGCCTTCAGCTCAGGTCATGATCCCGGGGTCCTGGGATTGAGCCCCACATGGGACTCCGTGCTCGGCGGGAAGCCTGCTTCTCCCTCTCCCACTCCCCCTGCTTGTGTTCCCTCTCTCACTGCCTCTCTCTGTCAAATAAATAAATAAAATCTTTAAAAAAAAAGAAATTAATGAGGAATTAGGAAACTAATGTTGCTCTTCATAATAAATTCAGCTGAAATGAATGAGCCGGGATAGTTTCCCCTTTTGGTTAGGAAGCTGCTGAAATTGGGCTGTGATCATCCTATTTCAGTGTAATTTGAGCCTTATGTGTTTATTTCCTCCTCAGGTGGAGGCCTGAATTTTGATATATGTCCACCCTACCTCAGCTGCCTGAAAGTACTTAATGATCACATGACCCTGGACATGGATGCTGTCCTGTCAGATTTTGTCCGTTCCACAGGCGCAGAGCCTGGGCTGGCCCGAGATCTCCTGGAAGGTAAGGAGTCACAAGGGGGAAAATAAGAGAAAAAGTAAAATGCGATGTTTATTGTTAGGATGACTTGGAACATATAAAGATACTTTGTGTATGGCAGACCTTACATTTACCTCGCTTCTAATAATCCACCTGTGTATGACTCACCATAATTTTAAAATGAAAAATCCCGTTTTCACTTTGAATTTTTGGTGTAGCTTTCTCCACTGTGAATTTATGCTCAGGTAATGCAAGTGAAATTTTATATTAATCCACTAAAAGCACAACTCTAGATCTGTTAGTCGTCTTCTTTATATATAAATGACTTTGGGATCATTCATCGTTTTGTTTCTTTCCTTCCCTAATTTGTATGGGTGATTCTATGTAGAGTGAATTAAGTTAATGTTTTTATTTTGCTGCCTTTGTTTACTTATGTCTGTATGTACACATAATTGTGAACGTTCTATATTTTAAGGTCCTTAAGGCTTAGAATCATGTCAGTAGGATACTTTGTTTGGAGTCATAATTAACAGATGTTTTTTGTTGATGGAAATATATAATGACGCAAATGGGTAAGCCTGAGGAGAAAGGGCCAGGTTCTTAGTGTACATTCTAATGTTTTAGATTGTCAGCCCTTAGCAGGGTGTGACAACTTGACATTTGCTTCTGCCTCTTACTTAGGAAATGAAAGATCTGGGTTTGGACTCCAGTTTGCTAATTCAGTATGACTCTGCCCTTGACTGGCATTTTTGGTTTTATTTCCTAGTACCTTCTCCTTCTTATGTTTCAGCCTGGCCCAACTTGTCACCTTTCCCTGGTCACGTTAAGTTGTTTTCTAAGTCTGCAGTGTCCCTTCCTCCATTATTCTCCTGAAATTCTCCTCATCCTTCAGGATTCAGCTCAAATGCTTCCTCTTCCTCTTGTAACATGTGTTGAATGCTGTATGTGTGAAGTACTTGGGATACATTATTTTATTCTTACAAGCACTCTAAATATAAGTTTTATTATCCCACTTTACAGTTTTAAAAACTGAGGTTCAGAGAAGTTAAATGGGATTTGAACTCAGGCAATCTGGTTTCAGAGGCTGGCTCTTAACAATTACATTACAATTAATATTTCTGTAATCTCTTTCTCTCACACACAGACGTGCACACACTTCTCTGCTATGAAGGAAAGGTTGAGGGTACTATGGAAGTGTAAGAGAGAAACCCAATTTAGATACAGGGTGCAGAAAGGCCTTTCTAAGGAAGTGACCTTTGAACTGAACCCAGAAGGGTGTGTGGGAGTAACAAGACAAAAGGGATAGAGAAGAGAGTGTTGATACAGAAGCTTATACAAGGACCTAAGATGAAAGAGAGTTTGGCACTGGGTAGGAAGAGTGGGGTAAGAGTGGTAGGAAATAGAAAGGCAGGAAGCAGAATATGGGGCCCTTTGTAGACTGTGGTAAGGAGTTTAAATGTCATTCTGTGTTCAGTGGGAAGCTGGTGAAGGGTTGTAATCAGGGAGTTACGTGATTGGATTTGAATTTTGGTTGAAGGCTGTGGAACAGATTGGAAGGTGGCCAGAGAAGTGATCAACCCAGTTAAGACTGTTGGCCACGGTTGAGGTGAGAGATGATGATGGCTTGAACTGCTGTGGTGGCAGAAGAGAGAAAAGTGGACAGATTTAAGATAGAATTTAGAAGGGAAATCAAAGGGCCTGATCTTCATTTTCTCCCTGCTTCTTTCTCGCTTTTTCCTTTAAAAGTTAACTTTGGTTCATAGTGTAAAGAACAAATTCGAGAGGGGACATGTTAGGGGAGGAGAGACTAGCCGAGCCTCTCCCAGAGACCAGGGGACAATCATGAGGATCTGCATGGGCACAGTGACAATAAAAATGGACAAGAAAGAACAGATTTGAGAGATGTTTCATGAGTGCAAACATTGACTAGATAGTGAGGGCGGAGGAGTTGGATCTGAGTAGTGAGGAGCTGAAGGTGACGGAATTTTCTGGCCTGGAGGGCTTATGATACCATTATCAGTTTGAGGACTATAGAAGGAGGAGACGTAGCAAGTCTCAGGAAGGAGGATGATGGACATTCAGTTTTGGACAAGTTGGCTGTTAGGACCTGATTTTAAGGAGTTTATCACAAGTTGCAAATACAGAGCCAGTATTCAGTACAGTGTTCTGTATTTCCAACTGTGTGGTAAACATTCATTCATTCATTTGTTGAGTCAGGACAAAAGTCCTTCATTCTTCAACAAATATTGAGTACCTACTATGTGCCAAGTTCTAGGTGCTCGAACAAAACAAAACAAACAAAAATCTCTGCCCTTATGTTCTAGCAGGAAAAACAGTCAATAAATAATAACCACGATAACCAAATCATTGTAAAGTATATGTTAAGGTGTGAAGTGTTATGGGAAATGATGGGTAGGTTGTGATTTTTACTTGGGTAGTTAAGGCAGGTCTTATTAAGAATGTGACATATGGGGCGCCTGGGTGGCTCAGTCGTTAAGCGTCTGCCTTCGGCTCAGGTCATGATCTCAGGGTCCTGGGATCGAGCCCCGCATCGGGCTCCCT